TATTTTCAGGCTTCCGATTTGCTAAAATTTTTGAATGATTTCCTATTATCTACAATGTGTTCTATTTCATGGAAAGGACATTCCTTCAACTACGTATTCTTCGTCCAAAAATTACCATAGTTTTGCTAAAAATCCGTTGTTATAGAATTAAAAGGTGTTCAAATTTAATTGAAAAGCAAAGTGATATAGATTATTTCTTGAATTATCAATACATAGCCAATAGCCGTAAAGATGAAGAGTACTACATTCGACAAGTATTACAAACGACACAATTGAATCCGAACAACACATTGTTGTGGAGGATATCAGAACTGTTCAAAGAACAATGGATCAATGAGGAAGAGGAGATTTTGTAACATAAAGGAGATTGAAGATCGAACTAGTCGATCCTTAGAGAATTAACGATCCAGAATAGAGTCTGCTTGCAGGCATTTTAAGGTTTTTGCATTACACGAAGAGACGAACAGATTCAAAAGGCCACCGTCACTTTGTTTTACGGTGTTGTGAATAAACCTAATGAAGTCAAAAAGGACTTTTATATAAAATCGTTTTGATTTGATTTGGAATATCTACTTGGAAAATTTCGTTAAAACATCTCCAAGCGCTTTAAAAAAAAATTAATTTTTCATTTTTTAAATTAAATTTCAACAAGCTGTTAACCCCAAACAAATAACTTATATAACCAATTTAACTTCGTTATCGTTTATATAACAAACTAGGTTTTTTTGGACGTTGAATGGTTGAATGGTTAATAAACATTCCTCTTGAATGAAAAATCTTGGAAATAAAGCATATGATCTAAAATATGTGATAATTACTTGTATATCATAGTTGATACTTGAGGTGTTTCCAACGGAATATAGTTTACAGGTGATTTTCGAGCTGCATTTGTACTTGAACTAAGTATGTTTTGCATTGCAACTTTAATCTCAGCGACAGCATTATGATGTCTACTAAGATCATCTTCCAGCTGTTTTATTCTATCCTCAAAGTGCAACCACTGGTTCTGAAATATAAAGTTTAACGTTCAACCTCTGATTACTTCGAATGCCTTCTGAATAATCCATAATTAATATTGGTGTTTTCCTAATAAGGCTAATATTATAAGAAACTTCCTAATAAGGCAAGTTTCTTATAATATTATTTGTTTTTGTATTCGTAACGAAAAAGAAATATTTTCACTTTTATTGAATTCTCAACGGTTTATGAAATATCGGGGGGTTTGAATTTACCAAGTCCTATTAGTGCCAAGACAATAACTTTATTATTTAAACCACAATGGCACAGTAATTATTATAAAAGCTGCTCAATATGGCCAACGTTTTGGGCAATGTCAATTTCCAGTTGTAGTCTTCCTCCACATTGTCCTAAATTCCTCACTTAATCGAGCGCTGCGTGAATTCTTCCGGTCCATGCAATTAGGCTTTCCCATTGAATAAGTACCTAAGACTTTTCACTTGTTCTCCAAGGCAATTGTTAATTTCATATTATGTAAATACTTAAAGCTTCGTCCCAGAAAAGGAACAAGAGCCAACTCTCTGGGAAAAATCCGGTCGGCGAAGTTCTTGTCTTACTTTTTCGAGCAAGGGCACATATTGTTTTTCTACTAATACCAGAATTATTTTCAACTAGCTTAAGAACATTATTTTTCCGTCCAACTTCCCTTTCACTAGTCGGTTTAAGGAACGTTAATCGAAGATTTGTAAAGAATCTTTTATTATTAATCTTTTTGGTATTGTCGGAGAGCCTGTGTTTTACTGCGATTGATTCTTTTACTGATTTTCACTCAAGTTTTTGCTGCTGTCCAGTTAAAAAAATTCCGCCTTAAAAGTATTCGCACCAGGTGAGTACGGATTTTCTATAGAATCCACTAAAACTCAAGGCAACAATTTTTTACACTAATTAGCAGGATTTTGATCAGATTAATAAAATATTTGACTTGAGAACTTGATAACTGGTATAAAAGTGCTACCAAATGTATAATGAGCAAAAGCTGTATAACTTCCTCTAAATAAACATTTGAATTCAGACAAAAATTTAACAACAAACTCATATCTGGTTCTGTCTATTAAGAATTTGACTTATTTTTTGTGTCTATTTTATTCTTGTTACTTTCTGAGGAAATTTTATGATATACCGTCGAAATAAATCCTTGTTGCTTTCGACCCACAAATAATTAAATGCATGTTTTAAAAGATTCTGCATAAACAAAAACATCATTGCTCTAGATTCAACTGCCTATATTTTTAGACCGCGCAACTACTAGTACGTACCTATAAAGAATTAATTTTTGCTCAATTAATTAATGATTGTTGAGATATGTTTGGTGCTTTCTCTTCAGCCATTTCTGAGCCTTTTTAATACATTGATAGATAATAATAATAATCAATGGAGCGTTGATGTACCTGCTTGGTTGGTAAATATTTATTTATCGGCTTCAGTTCTTAGGCTGGTTATCGCAATATGTACATACATTTTTTTAGGAAATCAAACTAAATAACAAGCAATTCAGTTCAAAAGGGTTGTTAAATTGATATACTTAGATATCAATCTGAGTATATACCTCATAGATTTAGATAACAACAATCCTCTTATGGTTTTGAAAAGCAAATTTTCAAATAGTTCAAAAAAAGTTGTTATCCATCATATTATATTACGGATTTTTTCTTCTTTCTATAATATAATAGGTAAATAGATCCGAAAAGTTCCCTCGTTCGCTAAAAGTCTAAAAATTACAGTGTCCCTATCTATAGTTCGTATCATCTATTTTCGTCATCACATCGACTTAAAAAGAAATAAAATAAAAAAATATTCATACAAATGCAGATTTAATAGCAGTTTATTATAAGCCTAGTACTCACGTCCTTATAATCTTGGGTAATGCTGGTTTTTCTCACAGATAAAGTTAGTTCTTTTGCAGAATAGATAGTGAACACTACGACTAAAGTAAGCAAGAAGCCACAAATAATTACAGCTCTTTTCAGTTTCATATTTACACTACAAGTGACGATTTTAACTGCACTACACCGTAAGTTGCACCTTACATTAAACCCAATCGACTTATAGTCTTACGAAAAATTGATTACCGCGGTTAAACAACAATTGAAATCCGGATTATCTCGATTAGGTAGTTATAATCGCAACAGATAAAATATATCACAGCAGATAAAATGCAGATAATTTAAATAATTTGTATATGTTATACATTGTCCTTTTGTTTACTTCTGCTTGACTTCTGTCTTTTGTTGCATTTTGGGGGTGAAGGACGTGAAGACATTCTGCCAAGGTTGCCAGATATGTTTTGTTAATTTTAATTAACTGCTTATATAACGAAATATTTATAAACGATGATATCAAATAATTCACTCTTATGCCGTTTGATATATATTGATATTATATCAGCAACGTTTCGATCATAATCTAGACCATCTTCAAGTCAATCATCAATCAATCAAATTCCTTTCTTTCGCTGGGCTAATCATATTTGATGAGAATTTTATTCACGACTGTTCAATATTAGACTCATTATGATTGTGTCTAGTTAAAGGTAATGATGCCTATTAATCCCTAGGGAATAATGAGAGAGAGTTGTAATTATGACCTAGCTTGCATTATATAAAAGTTTTGAATTTCTCTCAACTCTAAACGCGATACTAAAATGAAGTCAAAATTATATACATCTTTTTTTATTGCATTTGAAAACATCAGTATAAATTGAAAAAAATAAATGCGTCTAGACTCTGTAGTATTATAGTATTATCTTTCCACTGTGCATCGCAACGCTGTAATATTATTATAATAACAGGAAAACTATTTGAATATAAACGTTTTGTTACGTTATATTTAAATTAACAGTCTAGTTTCAAGAGTAATGTTATGGAACAATGTTAAACTAGTCGGTGTAACACTCGGTTTTATGGTCATTATTCCCGCAAGTATCAATTATCACCTTAAAATCCTATATAATTATCCACTGAGATTAACGAAACGATTAAATAACAATAACCATTTGTGTAGTTGTCTTCATCTATGACAATAACTTCTTTAAACTTTTCCTCTGTAAATATATAAAAAATTTGTTAAATTCCAGTGACGTAATTGTTTTGTGACTCATCCGCTGTCGGTTGAAGGTCAATCTACGCTTGGTACGGACCTGAAATTTGTGTTAGCTGACTTTTGACTTTTCCATTCCATCACTTTGAGCTGACAATATTGACATATTATTTGTTTTTCTCAAATAAAAATATTGACTTGTTATTGTATTAAATGTATTTCGGAGTTTGTTAAAATGGCTTTAACAAATATTCTATTGCTGAGCCAAATTGCCGGATATGTCGTTGCCCTCATTTTGTCGCTGTGCATTGTTGTGCCGATGAGTTTGCAACAAGATGACTTTAAGTAAGAAGGTTTTTTTCGTTATATGTAAGAGGAACTAAAACATGTGATTATTCGTGTTTACGTTGAGGCTGGAAATGCAGGCGATTTTCTTATTTAAGGGGGCACTGTCTATTGTTTTCCACCGGTACTTGGCAAGAAACCGATGGCCAACTAGACGTAAACTGGGCCTCACAGGGATATTGCAATTACACTATTTTGGTGGGAGTTATGCTATTTCTCGTTGCTCTAATCCAGATTTATAGGTACTTTCCAATTAAATCCATAGATCCCCTCAGCTACTAATTCCGTCTGGTTTCAGATTCTCAGTATTTCTTTACAAAGGAACCGATAGCAGCTTTTTATCAGCTTTCATCGACGTTATTTCAGGAATATTGCTAAGTGCTGCAACGATAATAGCAGCTTGCATGATTACATTTGGCTTTATGGCTTGGTGTCAAAATATGACTCAAAGATTCCCATCGTAAGATTGACTGTTAACTATTATAAATCTGCTGGTTTTCTGAAAGGGAATTTTAGGTGTGAATATGCTGCTGGTCAGGATATAGATCACAAGGATGAAATTAATACCAAGAATTTTTACATCGAATTGGGTAGTGCTCAGTTTGGTGTTTGGGGCTCTTTTGCAACTTGGGTTGGATTAACAGTTTGTGCAATTATTAAGTTATTGCGGTATCATCAGCTGGAAAATATTAGAGTGTCCATGTTTAGGGAACGACAAAGACTTATTAATGAGAATGCAGATTCCCCAGGTACTTACTCGATCTATAACTATTTCTCTACAGCTTTTAAGTTTTCAATCTTTTTCGTTTAGGTAGTTCATTAGGCAGGCAATCGACATCGACACAATCTACAGCAACAGCTGAGTGATTATCCCGATGTGCTCAACGCATATTGCATTATCCATATGTTATACTTTATGCTATAATACATATTACATTATTTTTACATCATACAGTATACCGTCTAGTGACTGTGTTTCAAACACACTGATGACGATTTATATAAGAAGACGCTTAACGTGATGTGAGCTTCTATCTTTTAAAAAAATATTTGATGTTTGAATAGCCGAAATCTGATTCCAGATTTTCATAGGAAGGATGTTAGTTATTTGAAAATGAATGCTTGTGATATACGCTTCACTGTAGATATTATTAAACTAAATATTTATAACTCTAAAGTGAGCTTTTTTTAACCGCGTTTTACTACATATCATTTGTACTTTTTGTTATGGAAAAAGATAATTACATTTATGTGTATGTATAAGTAAAATTAAATTGATGTTTGATATTATTTATTATTTAAATATGTGCAGTGTTTGGTTGTATAAAGAAATACGGACCTCTGAAAGATGGATTCTTTCAAGTCTTAAAACCTTGAAAAATAACGTTTTATTTTTTACTGGTTTTTGCAGCATTTCTGATTAGCATTTTGAAAATTAACGACTTCTGCGGCGTTGTCATAGTGCACGTAGTGGTTTTGTCCCGAAATCTTTAAAACCAAGTAAAAAGTAGGTTTATTAAATTTAACTTTAATTTTTTCAATCTCGAATCAGTTGCTATTGATATTTTATGACTTTTAAACCGTAGTAAAGCACCTGTATTCCGTTTAAGGCACATATTATTCAAATTAACAGTGGAAAGTGGAGAAGTAGTCACCCTAACCCGTTCTATTTGACGTCTGCTTGACTTGTTATTGTTTATAGATATTATTGTGATGGATGGAAGCAATTGTATTACAGCACCGGTTTTTGAAAGAATGCGAACTAAAAATGAATGATTCTTAGATGTCTCGGCAAATAATGCGACTGCAGTTATTCAGTTAGTTCTAGTTGACAATTTATTATAAAAGGTACTTATCAGAAGTCCGTTGAATGGATAACTTCCAGTAATCAATCTTTTTTAGAAAAAGATGTCTGTTGAAACCAATTTAATGCAACTCACGGCAAACTTCCCCGCTACAAAGTTTTCCGAAGTGATTAACATTAACGCAATATGCCGCATTTGTACAAATCACAGTGACAAACTAATTGGTATCTACAGTGAGGATGGGATCAGCAATGGTTTGGCCGATAAATTCAATCTTTACCTGCCCATTAAAGTATCACTAACCGATCACTTACCACTGCAATGCTGCTGGCAATGTGCATCTACTCTATTAGCATGGCACGACTTAGTACTTACGACCGTTGAGGCTGATCGAAGGCTCAGATCATATCAATTTGTCAATGGCAAACAACTAGAAGAAATGTCTTATGGTGCTGCTCAGAATATTTTAGCGGCCACTACTGACGATTCTTTGTAAGTACTGTCTTACAAATCTTAATGCAGTAAATCCAAATTGATATTTGTTATAAAACTGTACGTTTTGAAGAGGCTGCACGGTTAGCAGCAATACTGTGGGTTGAAACGTTATATTTTGTTGAAGTTAATAATAGCGCATACTTCATTTCAATCACCCTTTAAGACTCAGGCTAGTGACTAATTTAGGAAAATCAAAACCGTCGCTCTTTTTCGAAAAGTGTATCCTTTAATTTACTTAAGCCACACGAAATAGCCAGGTAGAGCAAGTGGGGATATAAATTAACGCCATGTAATGACCAAAGATCGAAGCCAAAATCCAATAGAATCTGAACTCCGTTTTCTTTCTAATGACCCGAATATTTTTGGATTATTTCAAGGACTGCCAGTAGTAACTAAAAATTGAAGGCATAATTTTGTTTCAGGCTAATCGAGGATTCAATGTCTAGACATACCAATAGTCACTGCGATACTAATGGAATCGAATTGTTGATCACTGATTGTTCTTTGCAAGTTGAGGATAATCTGAAAGTTGAAGAATGCCATCTTGTAACTTCACCGTTTGTTGCGGGTTCTGATTGTGTTAGCACTTCTAAGAAAGAARATCAGATAGATTTTARTGGTCAACAGGTCAAAGTTGAMAATTATAYCAAGAACAGCCCTTATCAAAGCGATACAGAAGAACGTAATRTTCGYAAGTTTGATTGCACGTATTGCCCGATAGYATTCACTGCTCAATCCGACTTTTTGCGACACTTAAAGGAAATGCATAAGGAGTGCAAACTTGATACAGATTTARCATCGAAAACTGAAAGTGAACAACCACCAAAAAAAGCGACAACAGAGAAAGCYAATTTAAAAAAACGACAAGAACGTCGAGTTGTTCGTGGAAGACATATGACCAAACAACCACTATCAAAGCTTAGCGGCGAGGAAGTGAATAATGCRAAAGTAGAAGTTGATGGAAGAGTGTTTTACAGATGCAGGGAATGTGGGAAGACTTTACACTCCGTGTACACATACATGTGGCATACGAGGATACATACAGGCGAACGCCCCTACGTATGTAATCTGTGCCATAAATATTTCAGAGTCTCGCAAGGCTTAATCAGACACCTTAAAGAGACACACGAACAAATAAAAAAATTTGATTGTGATATTTGTGGGCGTTGTTTCGCAACTAAGCGCAGCGCCGAAGAGCATCGTCGCATACACACCAATGAACGTCCATATATCTGCGCTAAGTGCGGGAAATCGTTCAAACAGAAAGCATCGTTGTTTGTTCATAATCGATCTCACAGCACTGAGTTTCCCTACACATGTTCAGAGTGTCCCCTAAAGTTTAGAACTAAACCCGTTTTGCTAATTCATGCCACCAAACATACCGGCGAAAAACCATATTCGTGTGATGTTTGTGGCAGAAGTTTTAGAATAAAATACGAACTTAAAAGACATAAACTGATCCACTCGGAAGACAAACCATTTATTTGTCAAGTATGTTCTCAAGCTTTCAGACAAAAGAGATATCTGAGAAATCATTTAAAGTTAAACCACAATATTGCTATACCCATGAATGAACTGTCGCAATAAATACCTCCGATTGAGAAAGGTAATATCGTTGTGTTTTGCATGTTAGGTACTGCGTAAGTATTTACCTTGTGAATTTAAACTGCAATATTAATGTATTTGAATTCACATGATTCAACCTGACCGTTTCTGTCTGTGGATGTGAATATTGCAGAGCTTTTCCTTAAATCTGGATGATCATTCTTCATGGTTAACTTTTTATATTAATGATTGAATATTATCGAGGATTAATGATAAAATATAGCTTTTAAAAGTACAAAGTACTTCGAAAAATGGGCTTCAAATTCAATAAAAAAATTATACACATTAAGATTAAAGCATAACCAACCACAAACGCAAAACTGACTACGGGCTTTTGAAATATTTCCAAAATTGATAACATTATATGTATTTGTACTTAACTTATTAGGTATCATTCATCGATTTATTTATTAGACATTTTTGTACTTGTGTATCTTGTAACACATTGCCCGAAACACGCATAAACAAATATAAAATAATTTATTGCAATATTGGGTTTACTTTATAAGCACCTTTAGAAATACTTCGTTTTTAAGTCGATTTATGTGTAAATTCTAAGAATAACCACTAGCGAATTTATTCAATCTTGGTTTACATTACGAATTCTTTTTTGCAGAATATTTAAAAACAATTTATTTCATTACTATTTGATTTAACATACAAAAACAGTATTTCACTTAGTAATATTTAATTAAAACTAAATTTAATACTAAACACTAAAACACTTAAACCAGGTAGTATAAGAGAGACTTTACAGCCATATAAATAGTGATGGAGTAGCCAGTAAACCAAGACAATGCTCTGGCTGGTTGGGGAACTACCACAACTGCGTATACTAAAGTATGAATCAATCGGGCAACTGTAAATAATCGAATGAGAGTCAACGCCAAAAACACTGAAGGATTGGTAGTGAGATATGCGAATGCGACGATAATGAACACTGGGATGTTTTCTAAGTCGTTAAGATGAGCCCTGAAACAGACAAATGTTCAATTTACTGTGATGGAACAAGCCAAGGGAATATCTTACTGAGAAAATAAAACGTTTTAGGTACCTTTGATTTTTTAAATTATTCAATTATAATTTATAGCTTAATTTTAATAGAGTACGAGCGGAATTGAAGTAAGCCATATGAAAAAATTTGAACGCGATGTTTATTATCACAGAATATGTTTATTAACTCAGAGAATGATAATCTTAATTTTAGCTTATTTACTTATTTTATACCATCTACATCCATAACACTGTTCATCCAAACTGTTAATTATTTTCAGAAAAATGTGGGCGTTCAAAAACAGCTGGCGACTGTTATATTTTAAAAGTTTTTGTTATATTTAATTGAGTTATTGATTGAAAAAGTAGCTTTTTTAAAACCTATTCTCGATTATGAATTTGTTCGTATTTTACGAAATGTTTAAAGTATTATTCATCTACTTTCATAAATAGTTTATTTTTTAGACTAACTCAGTAGTTGCAGCCATGTATATGTTCTGATATAACTAATATTTATCCGTCCTTTACCGTAATACTGTTAAAACTTTTTACGTTTGAAAGTTTGAAAAGCTATTATTTGCAGTGGAAACTGAGACATACATTTATCAAAACATTTTTTGCGTTGAATATTATAACGAAATTATAACATCTTACCGTCTAACACGTTCCACAGATTCGTTAACTTTAACTTTAAGTTTTCTGGGTTCCGCATCTTCAGGATTAGCAAATGCCTGCAAACAAAATTCTGTACGTTTTAATCAATGTTATTAAAGAGTTTTTTAGCTGTTACATAGCTAACAAGTACCTAACTTATAAATAGGTCCCTAACAAGGAAAATCAACTCACGGACTATATAGTATCCATGATACATGGTTGATATGAGAATAATTTTCTATGGCAATTGGAAAAGTTGCTTTGATTGGAAGATATGAAGATATAAGACAAAAAATATCGAGAATAACAAGTTTTCATAGCGAAAAATGGGTAGATAAAATACCAAACACGGTTCCAAGGGGCCATAGAATGAAAAAATAGACTGAAAGTTATCATGGCATTTTTGAACGTTGAGTTCTTCAGACAAAAAGGAGAAAATGGAAGTCGTATATTCTACCTGAAGGTGGTCATTTTGAACAGGTATTAAGTACAAGAAGCACATTTTAAGTGATTATAGGAATAGAACTCGGGGCAAAAGCTCCTCAGTTTGAGCCACCATTTAAAAAACTCCCTATATATGTATGCGACAGCGTCGAACAAATATTTAGCTATTATCAAAGAATTAGTAATTAATCCATACTTAGGTATATTATAAAACATTTTGATTATTTTAGTCTTTGTGAGAGACAACTGCGAGTTGAGTTGAGAGACTTGAAAGCGAAATAATAGAGATATTGAGTGGTCAATCTCGAAATTTACAAATATTTATTAATTTATCTCGACTGAGAACGGCATAGTCGCTTTAACTGTAGCCCCGCCAAGATGACCTTTTTTGGTTCGAAAACTATAAGTACTTACTTATCGCTCTCATTGAATAAATAAACGATAGCATAATCTCTATATAAATATGTTTATATGTAATTGTCTGCTATCCAGGGTCTATCCTTCTATTGAAATTGGTGTCATTTATCTGGAGGAGCCGGTAAAGAACTCTTAGAAACCATACATAAAATAGATTAAGCAAATTTAAAAACACTTTTAACTGGGATATTTGCAAAAAACAAGATAAATTAGATAAAAGTCGCACTTTGCCACATGAAATGTGGCCTGGTGGGTTAGGCATATCTAAGTCCTCCAGATCATGTTACTGATAAGAGTGATGGATTCGAATCGTTTTGAATTTGGAATTATACATAGATAATCATTGAATCCATATTTTAATTTATCCGCTAGAATATTTATCTATCACTTATGTTAGATAGGTATAAAAAACAACACCGAAGCTGATAGTTAAAAATACGTTCGGTTCTCATCATGTGAATTCTCAAAAATAATGTCTCAAAAATAATGAGAAGAGTTGGTTTAGAACTCACATATATAGAGAGTATCTACACATTTTCAATAGTGAGGAACAGTTGTTTGATATAGATATATTTTAAAGTGTAATTTTCTGCAACAAATTCACCAAGAGATCTTGGGACTTGGATTGGGATTTTTCATAGGGGCGACTTCCAAAGAAAGTTTTCCAAAATTACAAAGCTCGTCTATCCACTCGGAATAGCAAAACGAGCTTTAAACTCGGATACTAGAACTCTGAGATTAATCTTCTGTAAAAGAGACTGAAGTAAGACTCTCGATTCTTTGAAATCCTTGCAACAAATCTTGCCTCGCATTAATAAAAAATCACCAAATAGAAGAAATACCAGAAGTGGAAGGTGATTTTAGACACTGATGTTTGTTTGTCCCAACATTATCTGATACCTACACTTATCTTGTTATGTAGCGAATCATTACATGACATGGCGTTTCTTGCATATCGATGATTTTCTGTTATGTGTAGTTATAATTGATTATCATGGGCGGTCGCGGTAATTTTTATCAAGAGTTCACTTGGGTCCCTGCTCGGACTTCATGCTACACGCATTAGCTCAATATTTTTAACATTCTTGTACATGGACTTGTAATAAATAAATTAACTTATTAACCACATTTTTTCTCCAAAAAACAGTGACTAAACTTCCAACCCAACTAGTTATAATTAAGTCGCTTAATATCACAATTAAATTTCCTTGCAAGTAAATAATTCATGTTTCTTACCTTGTTCTTGAATCTTTGGACAGCGGTTAAAATGGACATGGCCAAGAGCTTTAAAGACAACACAGCTACATAAAATAGATACGTACGGAAAACAGGTTGTTCAATTAACGTTTCAAGTACTGCTTGGGCCATTTTTGAAATTTATATTTTCCTGATTTATGCTGCTTCAATTTAGACGCACTCGAACCACACCAACAACTGGCAAGTAATGAGCGTTTATTGAGTTTATTCCACTCGAGAATAATTCCACAGCGTCACCATTCCCATTAGTTCAAAGATCGTCGAAATATGCAATGTAAGCGATTTGGTGCAGGCGCTGGGAAAATCACTTGGACTTAAATCCGGTTAGTCCACAGACTACTCGCTATTTCTCCCACAGGGTTATGGGCATAGAGAAAGTAAAATGATTTTTATTTTATTACTCTATTTTATTATTACTATTACTATTTATTTTACTTACTCTATGGTTATGGGATAAAAAATACAGACAAAGCAATTGCATAGATATGTATTGGTATTTTTTACACTGAAACTATAAATATTCCATAATACAAAACTAAAATTAAGTTATGATAAACAAAATCACTATTTAATATCTATGTTAGCAAAATAAGTACCTAACTGACATAATAAAATATTAATTGTACAAAGATGCAAAAAAATGTTTAAAAAATCAACAACTACACAGAAAACAAAAAATAAGTGGGCTGATTCATTGACAGAAAAGCGCAATGTAGAATCCGCAAAAAGCCCTATAAAATCGAAGAATCATCAGGATCAAAGAAAAACTACAACCCTGATCCAGATCGCTGATAATCTCTAAAGCTCAGATTTTATCTCAAAAATACTCAATACTCAATATTGGCTTAAATTTAGAAGAACAGACGCAAGTCTGGTTATAATCTTGATCTGTACCACTTACGTCCTGAAGGGTGCTGGACAGCAAAAAAACGGGAATAGTCGGACGGATCCTGGCCGCTGAAAATGAGTAGCAAGAATGTTTTTGAAAAATCACTTTTAGTATGTGAAATGTGTAAAAATGGCCCGAAATCTAAATTAGGAAGCCAGGACAACTAGCAGCCTCTTAAGGAGACCTTAAGACCATCACAAAAAATATATATTCACCGACCTTGAGGCACTTTAGTCTTGATTCTGTGGTATTATTAAATTTTGAAACACCAAACAATAAAATTTACCGCACAAAACACCAATAATTGGTATCTTTGCTCGAAAGATAATTGGAGATGTGTTTGCAACAGTACTCCCCTAACTACTTAAAAAGTTCTACTGTAGAAAACCTGACCATTTAAATGTGAAAAACTGAGCAAAAAAAGTTGAAAATTGCAAACGGGCGTCCGATTCCGCTCGAAACCCCAAAAGCACACACTACACACACACAATGATAATCCACACTCCAAATGTGGATTACACTCAGCAATTAACAGGCAAGATGGTCAACCGTTCGTGCCTAAATGGCACTAAATTGGTACTTTTACCCCGTTTATGAACAAAGAGCTGACGAACAATTTAGTCCCTTGCCCATAATAGACTGAACTAAATGTTCCACTGCTTTCCGATAAAACTCATGCGAAATTAAGGTGTTTATCACATAAAAAACGCACCGAGCTATAGAACTCACGTAATCATATGCGTTTGCTCGCTGGCCCTTTGGGTGACTCATTGTATTGCTATGCTGTTCGATTTAAGTTTTTTTCTTATTGACGATTTTCTAGAAATTTCCAGTCCGCGATCGAACTGGGTACTTTCTCGGGTACATATAAACAAACATCGCCGTGCATGGGGTGAATTTTGAATGCTAATTAAATACTCGTTCTCCGATCAATCGTTTGCTCAATTGTCAGGAAACGTGCAAACCTTTTTACCTGGATCTATTGTGAGAGGCTGAACAATTTTTAGCAGATCCACCAGAATCAAAGAACTATTCGCAAAATGTGCCATGATTTGTGAATGCTTCACTTTGATTGCTTTATTAAGAGCGATGGAAAATTTGCACTTATACTCAACTGCACGCTTTCGTTTAAAAATTCATAACTTCTCATTTAGGGCATGTAGCAACTTGAAAGTTTCACACTCTATATAAGACTCATATGGTTGACCGCGCTTAAATTTCCACTTCAATCGCACTAAAGTCTGATTTTTGCCAGCGGTTTGAAAAATGGGCCAAAATGAGTCTTTATACTTATATATAAAAATACTTAGGTAAAACTCGAACTGTTCTTATTGATAATGTGTATAAGAATCGTTTAATTTCGTGATTAATTCACGTAAAGAAAAAATTATAATCTGGTTTTGGGCTCTCTGGATTTCGATAATAAAAAGTGATTTCCGTTGTAGATTATCCCCTTAATAACTTTTTTTAGCCATATTTCTTCCGAAAATATCATTTTCAACGACCTTCCGACGTTGGAAAGTCCACCTTTCTCCCCTGCTTGGGTGGGAACAGTTTCAATTTTTGAGCCCTTTGAACTTAATATTTGTGTAAGGGCATAATTTATGAATGCGTCTTTGGTTGCAGCATTCCGAGCTACGAATACGTAACTTGATATTGACTAGATTTTTTCCATTGGACTTTTCTCTCTATTTTCTCGCTCTATTTTCCTCAAATTTTTAACTTTTGAAGCTTGATATGTTGGGTAAAGTCTACTCAAATGGCCGATTCAGATTTAAGATTCAATATAGTTTTAAAAAGTCCAGTTTTTGCTTGCAGCACTAAAGCGACGGATAACTTAACTTTATTACTGTGGTAATTTGGGCTTTTAGAACTTCTTAAGTGGTCTTCAACCAAGACGATGACAGCGTAACTTTGAGACGCTCTTTAGGAATTGAGAAACGAAAAGGAAGAATATTGGGAGATTGTATATCAACTTCTTTCGTTTTTTACTAAAAATATAATTTTATTGATCAAAAATTTAAAAAAAACTATTCGTTTTTTGAGCTCGAGGAAAAGGCAGCTTCTACTTTTATAGAAGTCGAAAAATTTGAAATTTTTCGAAAAATCGACCTCTACCCATTACAAAATTTTTGTTCAAAAATCAATTTTTCACATGGTTTATATTTATAGACATTTTAGGTAACGATTGTGAACAATAAAAAAGCACTTTAAGACTGTTCAATTTCCTTCACAGTTCACACACTGCTACGAAGAGAGATTAAAAGCGGTTCAATATCGGATTGCCTTATTGGCCACATTTCGTTTTGCGTTATCGTTTTATGCTTAAAGCCAAATATTAATACGACCCGCATATTATTGCGGGACTCTTGCAAAAGTCTTAGTTTTGCAGGTTTTGCTCATTACAATTTGTGAATTTACCCGCTTCCTCATCTTATGCTCCTCCGCTCTACCCATTACATACATCCCTTAAGAATTAAAAAAAAAATGATTGCGAAAATGCAAAATATCTTTTAGTAGTTATAAAACTAAGAGAAAGTCACGAGAACCTAATTCAAGCAATATAAAGTTATAAAAAATGAGTTTAAACTTGCATTTATCAAAAAAAAACACCAGTATAAGCGCGACAAGCTTTGAAAAATCTTCTTGTTTGGATCTTGCGAGTTAAGCATGAGTTCGCGCATTTTACGAGCCTTAATACTGGTTTTCTGGAGTATTTTCGCCTTCAAATACTGTTGACAGTTTTATAATCCTGCAGGCCGATCGGGATAGACGTCCCATGACGATCACGGTCCAATACAAAAGTGCGCCGCTTCGATGAACGCACGTGCCGTCTGATTTTCAAACTTGTCTTCTTATGTTGCTTTTTCGTTAGCTGGATGTCGAGGTGTTGAAACATTTACCTCAGTTATTACAGATCAGTTTATGTTTAGCATAGTTTTCATAATATTGACTGTAGGTGTTATAAATATCTACTCATTAGTTACTGATCTATTTCAACTAGAAGTAGGTGATTTCGGGAAATTTGTATAATCCACACATTTTTCAGGTTTTGTATATTACATATATTGTAAAATGTGTGTAAAATATGTAAGTTTTCAAGGAAGTTATGCAGACTAGATCCAAACCACAAATTAAGTAGAAGTAACATAAAAAACAAACAAGAAGCGAAACAGAGAAACCAAAGGATAAGTGAACTGTTTTTTTGTTAAATGTTTTTTTTTGCCTAAACATATACACTGCTCAAAAAATTATACGTTACACAGACAAATTTGTCCAAACTTTGAAACTGGATAGCGTTTTACTGCTACAAGCGATTTGATTTCTGTTTGAATCGTGACTTGCTCCAATTCTTTCTCTGTTAGTCGGTCTTTTTGCCAAAATTACGTACTTTTGATAAATTTCGTACAGGGTGGACAACGAATCAAGGCAAATTTTCTGAAAGTTTCGTCTGGTCCCAGTTGAATAAAAAAAACATTTTTTATTCTATTTTAAGGGCATAAACATGGACCTCACATCTCAAAACGCTTTTTGCATTTCTGGGGCTGGTCTTCAAAAAATACACTTTTTGGTGTTGTGGGGATAACATTTTTCTCTTGAACCAATTTTGGAAATCCATAACGCATGTTGAAGCTAACATTTCTGTTTTCATTCCTGCAAAAGTTGATTTTTTGCAAACACCCTGTCAATAAAAGAAATAGATGACAAATTCAAAACCCATATTGAAAGCATTTCGCGGTGAAATCCACAAAAAAAAATTGGTTCAATTGGAAACATGCCGAATATTCAGAATCGTAGCATTGTTTCAACTCACACCTTGTAGAAACTCCGAAGTACATAATTTTTTCAAAACCAAGAACAGACAGAAGAAGAATTAATCTCAATAGAAGTTCAAATAGAAATAAACTCACTACCAGGAATTCATCACGGTTTAAAATAAGAAAAAAATTGGCCGTTAACACTTCTTTTGTTACACGGCAAAAAAAAAGAAAAATCAAAATACGGAGAAACTGAGCAGGAGGATCAAATTTTTCAATACTTTTTTTTGTTTCTACTAGTTTTTATTTTTGCTAATTTATTACAATAGATCGAAGTTTGTCAATTTTTTCCGAGTGCAAGGTAGAAATTTTACTTCTACTTAAATAAATAAACGAAATATTTATTGAATTTAAATATTTCATAGAATCGAAATAATTGGGCATAATAACACACTTACTGTAAGTTTGCTGTTAGCTCCATAAGTTTCAAACAAATTGATTGAAAAAAATTCCTAAAACAGATTTTTAGACAAAACATTGCGAAAATCTGAGTCAGCTGTGTTTATGTAGACAAATGCTTGTTTTC